CAAGAAACAAAAAATGTCCATTCTGCAACTCAGAAAGATACCTTGCTTACTGAAAAAGTGTTATTCCAATATATTGAGAAGTCATTCGATTAGGAATGCAGCACAAGCCTTTTCTGCAACTATTCATTAATAGATCAGATTCAGTCTCACCAAATAAAAGATGGATAATTCCACTATCTTCCCAGCCACAGGCAGGCTACGAAATGTATAAGGATGTGGGACAGTGTCTGTGAGGTATTCCAATAAATAAATCCTTTATTAGCCGTTCAGTGAAGTCAGCAGTGGATGTCAGCATTTCAACCTTCAATAGGGAGATCCCGTCTTGTCCATTTTTTCCTCTGGTGACTCTCAGTGAGGGTTCTTCACACTAGAAAAGAGAAAACACAAAAATATTTGAGATGTAGTGTAAAGGTCAAATGCTACATTGCCTTATGTTTCTATAACAATGTCTGTGTCCTGAAGAAGAGCTGTGCTACAGACACTTGAAGGACCTGGCTGTGGCCACACAGAATCTATTTAAGGCGTTTTAGAAGAGGACCTGCTGTTCACACGCTCACACTGTTGCCTCACGTCAACCACTGCTGCGGAAAGAAGGGGCCGCAGCGTGTCGGGTGCTTCTGCTGCGGGCACGGGGCCTCCACCCACCACGACTCCGGCCGCCTCTGCTTCTCCACGACTCTGAGTCCACCCACGACCTCTCCCTTCTGTGACTAAACCATTAGGCAGAGTCGCTGCTGCTACAGTTGACTTCAGTTCATTTGCTTGTGTCTCTGAGGATGAGCTGTTTCCTGTGATGACCTGAAGGGGTTCACCCATGTGCCCACCTTGAGGCCCAGCACGAGCTGCTGCTCTGATGATCACATCCTGCATCTCTGAGGCTCCAGAGCACTTGAGAGACATCCCAGTGCAGGGCTGGAGCGGACCCTGGAGCCACACTGGGTGGGCCTGTGTCCTGGCTCTGCCACTTGTTCGCTGTGTGACCTTGGGCAAGTTACTCACCCACTCTAGTCTCACTCGCCTCAGGTATAAATGGAGACAATAACCACATCTCATAGGACTGCGACCCTCACAGCTCACTAAGTTAGGGTTTGTGGATAAACAACGTCTGAGATGGAGACATTCTGACTAAGTCAATAATAATGAACTCATGCTGATTATTTAGAAATTTGGGACTCTGAAGCATTTTTAATACTTCACAAATTTATACCTATGCAGAAAATGTTAAGAAATGTGACATTAACAAAATATGAATGATAAATTCAAGTAAATATGACAAATCTGGTTATATACTCACACTCTTATTCTTTGAATTTTCTTTGAATCTACTCAAAGAAAATGCTCCATGTTTAACTACTTTGTTGTTATAGTTTCATTTTCAAGGACTCACTTTAACAAAGTAGCACTCATAGTTCTAAAAGTAGTTTTTCACTGTCCTGCTTTTCTTCAGATCCTACATGGTAGGGAAGGGGAAGGAGAAAAAGCATCGCATTCCAGTAAAGTGAGAAACAAGTTCTTCAAAATTACAACATATATCCATAAAATTTTAAATGAGAGAGTCGTATGTTGAAACCTCAGAGATTTAGCTTAACAAAGCTGTTAATGTAAGATAAAGTTTTACTTTATTTATTGTAGGATGAAAGTGTTTAAAATAGGATCTATAAGTCACAACAATCTGTCAAAATGTATTCACCTATGTAATTGTAAAATTATTCATACAGATCAAGAATTCCTATCCACTGCTATTCCTCCTGCACGTCTTTGCTAACAAGCTTGCATGTGTTTCTCAACCGCTAATAACTTTGAGTTTTGGTACAAATAATTTTATCTCTGTATTTTCAAAATTGCTGTCCCCAGTGACTGAGAGAGCTAAGAGGGCTTCCTAATGCCGAGGGCGATGCCACAAGGTCATTCTTGTGACTCTTGCCAGTGACCACTGCTACAATCAATACAATACTTCAAAATTTATAAGATGTCACTAAAGCAGTGCCTTAGTAGAAATCTAAGGCTTTAAATGTCTGTATCAAAAAAGCAAAAAAGATCCAAATCAACAATGGAAAGAAAAGCAAGCTAAACCCAGCACAGGTAGAATAAAGGGAATAATAAAGATAGGAACGGAAATAATTGAAATGGAAAACAGAAAAGAAGAGATAAAAATCAATAAAAACAAGTCAGGTTTTTGAAAATATCAACAAATTTGACAAACCTCAAGCTAGAATTACCAAGAAGAAATTAGAGAAGATAAAAATTACTGAGTCAAGGAAAAAAAGGGGAACATCACCACCAACCCTACAGGAATTTAAAAGGATTATAAGGGAATAGTATAAATGATTTATGTCAAGAAACTAGATAATTTAGAAGAAATGGATGAATTCCTAGAAAGACACAAATTAAGAAATTGGACTCAAGAAGAAAAAAAAGATCTGAATTGATCTATAAATAATAAGTAAATAAATTAGTAATTGAAAATCTTCCCATAGAGAAAATCCCTGGCCCAGATGGTTTCCTTGGAGAATCTATCAAACATTTAAAGAAGGAATAATATTCATCCTTCATGAAAAGGATTCATTCAGAAGACACAGGAGTTGGGAGCACTTCCCAATGTTTTCTATGAAGCCAGCGTTACATGGATATCAAAATCAAAGACATTATAAGAAATCCACAGGCAGATCGATACAAAAATCATGAGCATGGGTATAAAAATCCTCAAGAAAATATTAGCAAATTGAATCCAGAAACATACATAATGGATTATAACCAAGAACAAATGGGATTTATCCTATACATAAACAGTTGATTTAACATCCAAAAATCAGTTAAAATCACACATCATATTAACTGACTATAGGACAAAAACACATGATCATCTCAACAGGTGCATACAAAGCATTTGAAAAATCCAATGGCTATTCACGATAAAAACTCTCCAACACTAGCAATAAAATGCAAATTCCTCAACCTGATAAAGGGCATCTGTAAAAACCCACAGCTACCATCACACTTCATGTTGAAAGACTGAATGCTTTTCCCCAAACACCAGGAACAAGACAAGGACGTCTGCTCTTGCCACTTCTATTCAACACTGTATTGGAGGTTCTAGACAGTGAAACAATGGAAAAACAAAATTAAAGATATCCAGTAGATTGAAAAGGAAAAAGTCAAATGTCAATTGTATTTCTATATACTAGCAAGGAAAATTTTGAAAATGAAACTAAAACAACAATTATATTCACAATAGGGCCAAAAAGAATAAAATACTTAAGAATTAATTTAACAAAAGAACAAAAGTTGTATGTTGAACAGTATAAAATGATACAAAGAAAATTAAAGAACATCTAAATAAATGCAGAGAGAGTCCATGTTCAAGGATTAGAAGATTCAGTGATGTCATCATGGCGATTCTTCCCCAATTGATCTATTAATTCGTGCAGGAGGTTTTTGCGGCAAAAATTAACAAGCTCGTCCTAAAATTTACATGAAACCACAAAAGACCTAGAATAGCCAAAATAATTTTTATAAAGAACAAAGTTGGAGGACTGTTATGGACACCCTGCAAGAGCGGTGGGGCTAGCCGAGCCCCGCAAATCTAATTTCCATGTTGAGGCTGATGATGCCACACACCCAGAGGGTCTGACAAGTTTTATTACTCAGAAAAGCGAGGTCTTGGGGGGTGGCGGGGCAGGCCTTTCAAGCAAGGACTCACAGAACCTGATTTTAAAGTCACATAAAAATAAAATCACAGTCATCAGGCCCGTGTGGTCCTGGGGCAAGGAGAGCACACAGGTTAACAGAGGGAAGTGCAGAGTCCGGCAATAAATCCCTGTATTTATGCTCAATAGGTTTTTGAGAAACGTGCTGAGTTAATTCAAGAAGGAAAAGACAGTCTTTTCAACAAATGGCGCTGCCTCGGAAGAACGAATCTAGTTCCTTACTTCCTCCATACACAAAAATTAATTCAAAATAGCCAGGAGCGGGTGCTAGAAGGTAGTCTAAATAACTAAAAGCAATCAAAATACTATACTTTCTAAGCAGGGAATTGAAAACAAAGAGGAAATATAACATCACATTTGGTATTCAAATGCAAAGGCCCAATGAGAACAGAAATTAATCCCTGAATCACAAACAGCCAAGCAGGTTACTTGGGGCAGAGGCCCAGGAGAATGGCCGACTTAGTTCAAAGTCTTGGTGTGTTCTTTATTAGCTAGGCAACCATGAGTTAAGTTGCTTAACCAGCCTAAAACTCTGTTTCATCTGCAAAATGTGGATCAGTAACACCTGCTTTATGCTTGCAAGGAAGGAATAAATATGTGCAATGTTCGACATTCAATAATTCATCATTTCATGGATAAGTTATTTCTGGCATGACATAAAAAAATTAACTTTTACAAAAGGTGATCAACTCAACTCAAAAGTGCTAGAAGAAATTTCTACTACCTTTTGAGGTCCATCAACATTAATTGAATAACTGCACTTCAAGAATAACTTCTGCTCTTACTGGCATGTGAGAGTTATTCTTGAGTTACTGCAATGCCTCTGAAATTTTCTTCATGTGACTTAGACTTTTTAGTTTAAAAAGAAATTCTATATATATGACTACTGAATTTATATATAGTGAATGGATGGTGACATGGGTTTTGGAATTTGTTAGAATTGGGTTTGAATCCAGGCTCCATTAGTTACTGCTTAAGTTACCTGAACAGGTAAAACTTCTTAAGATTCTGATGATCTCATCTATCAATAACTCTCCTGCCCCCTCCATCGGCTCAGGCTGTCCCTCCCTCTGCTCTGGGCCCTCTGGGCTCCTGGCTCCTCCTCTTCTGCAGAGGGCCTGCTCTCAGCCTACCCCAGGAGGCTCTCAGGAAATGGGCTGAGCAGAGAGGCAGGGCTCCTCCCCAGGCCTCCCCCAGCCCCACCCTCTCTGGGTCATCAGCTGGGTGGTCTTCTAGGAGAACCCCTCAGTTACTGCCCGCCTGGGACAGCTGTGCAGAGACCAGCTCTGACTCCCTCCTTTTGTCCTTGGCTCCCTGTCTTTGGAGCAGGACCGGAATGTGAGAGGGTGTCTGCCCCTCCTGTCGTCTGTCCCTTTCCTTCTAAGGCCCGAGGAGGAAGGCATGCTGTGGGCTCTCGCCCTCCTTCTAGCTTTCCTGGCTCCTGGTAAGTGTGCTGCCTACCTGCTTCTGGGATTTTTCTCTTTTTTTGGCAACAGGAGGCCATAGTAAGGAATTCTTATTACCGCTTCCTTGTTACTTTTTGTTGTTCCCATTGCAGCCACTCAGGTATCTTCCAACTTGGAAGGGAAACAGATGTCACTCACCAGACAAGCTGGGTTGTCTGCTGTAATCACTTGTGATATTGAACATACCAGTAAATACATCCACTGGTACCAATACCAGGAGGGGATGGCCCCACGACGACTTCTCTACTATCAGGTCTTCAGCTCAAATGTTGTGGTAGAATCCGGAATCACTTCAGGGAAATACCATGCTTATGGAGGCACAGGGAGGACCTGTAAATTTTCACTTGAAAATCTAGAAGAAGGTGATTCTGGTGTGTATTACTGTGCTGTCTGGGAGTAGCACACTGATTCAGACCTCCCCTATCCTGCACTGAAAATTTTGCTTGTGGCTGCCAAGAGCAACCTTGTCACACAGGATGGACCAGCCCCTGCCTCCCTTCCTTCCTGACTTCACTGTGCTCTGAACAAAGAGAGACCCTGAAGTCAAAGCCCAATCCCCAACCTCACATCCCATTGACCTCCTTCCTCCCCCAATGAGTGATAGCACATTCTCGAAGACCCCAGACCCCCTCCAGGAGGTAGGCAAGCAGTCTGGCAGACTGCATAATCTTTCTACTCTCCTAGAAGTCTGTGCAGAACATTCAATCTGCTTCCAGGTACAGACAAGGTCACCTAGAGTTTTACTTGTTCCGGGAGACATTTAGGAGAGCAATCTAGGAAGGCTAGTGGTACCAAATCACTTTTCCAATCATTTCCCAGAGAAAATGGCTGGGAAAGGAGCTCCTGCCTTCCTCAGGAGAATGAGAAATGATGGAATGAAGACTTTGGACTTCCTGAAGACCTCAAGCTGGTATCCAATTTATCTTTTGGACAAATTGATATTTCCCTCAACATAGCGAACCATGGCGCTGTTGATACACTGAAAGTCTAGGAATAAAGTGATTGTTGTAGAGATGCCAAGCATCATATTCTGCTAACAGCTTCTTTTGAAGTTCAGCCTCAACCAAAACTGTTCTGTCTCAGACAGGTAAAGTCAAAGCTCGTTTCCACCCCTCCACCAACATTGACATAGCCAAGTCCTGAACTGGAATGAGTCTTAGGAGATTATTTTTTCTCAATTATTAAAATTAAGGGACACTTCGGGCGAAGAATCACACGATGAATAGTATATATTTGAATTGAGAAGTCCTTTAGGAAACTGTTGTGGCTGCCATATTGACCAAGTTTGAGGATATGAAATTAATCCTGAAGTACAGAAGTGCCAGATTCACATGTGCATGATCTCTTGTGTACTGGATCCTCCAACCTTCTGCCAGATCTCTTAACCTTGACTCTACCTTAGGGTTTAAGCTCCTAGAACGCTGTTTCTCAAACTGTGGTCCATGGACCACCTGCATCAGAAACACTTGGTAGGTTTGAATAAAAGTATGGGTTCTGGATAACATCTAACAAAATAAATCAGAATTTTAGGATGAAAACTGAATGTGTATTTTTCAATGAACTCCACACTGATTCTTATTCAAATAGATTTTTAAGAACTGCCGTCCCAGCAGTAACAGATAGGGTGACCTGTCTCCCTCTGAGATCACCTGGTTCTCAGCCTGACACAAGAATGCTTTCTAGAAAGGTGCTCATGGGCTTTCTCCCAACACACAAAGCCTTCCCCTCTTATCGCACCCTGGATGCTGCTGCTCTAACAGGTCATCACATTTCTCCATAATTCCACCAGAACCACAAGTGGAAACTCCAGTTCCTTCCCACTGCTGTGACCTCAGGCAAGAAGAATTGTCCACTAAATAAACCAACTTTAACTTGCTCTACTGTACCAGGGACCATGTATTTTAACTATTTTGCAGCCTTATAAAAGTTTATTCCTTACCTTGAAGCATTAACATTTTCATATATATTTTTCTCATAGTGTTAAGGCTTTGTTCTGCACATTTATTTCTTTGATCTGCTTTGAATTGAATTTTCGTGTATGGGGGTAAGGTAGGAATCTGACTGTGGAGATCCAATTTCTCCCCCAAATTATTGACTAATCCATCATTACTCCCACTGTTCTTCATCAGCACCCCTGTGATAACTAAGCTTCCAGAGGCTCACACAGCCCTTCCTGCTCTCTCTCTCTTCCTTTCACTGTATGTGTCCACTTACACAAGCCAGTTTCTCTAAGGAAACAGCTACAGGTGGAGTCGCTGAGTATGCAGAACTTCACCTTTACAAATGGGGCCAAATCCCTGTTTTGTCTATTCCTGTGCCAGGAACAAAGTATTCTAATTAGTATAGCTTTATAATAATGCTTGCTTTTTGGTAAGCAAATTTTCTTGCTTTTTTATGTTTCAAAATTTTGTTGACTTTATTTTATGCATGAATAAACACTCAATATAAGTACATATAAGTACATGTATTTACTTGTCAAGTAATAAGTCACAAGAAATATGGTAGAAATGTATTATGCATATTACAAAACATACACAAAAACAAACAATTTTAAAATATTTGATAAAAACAAATACAAAGTGTAGTTCTAACACTTTCCTCCCACAAATCAATGAAGTATCTTATGCATCCCGCTTTGTAAACCACAGCACCACCAACACCAATGCCAATAATACACTTCCTTCTCAATTCTTCCTATTTCCTGACTTAGCATGCATCCCTAAGACAAATCACACTCAATGAATTCTTTTTGTCTTCAAACCAAATTCTTACAATCCCTTTATAGTACACCTTTCTTTCATTCTCTGAAGTACTTCTCGTCTTACAAATGGACACTTGATGGTGTCTTTTCATGTTCTTTAAAAGGAAGCACCCCCAAACCTGATAAATCTTGGGCTTCCTCAGTTCTGTAAGGAAACCTTTGTGAGGAATGTCCAGGGAACCCAACAGTCATCATTTGTTGACTGAGAATACTAGTGTGGCCTAAAAACTTTCATTATCTTCACTGGTTATAAACATGAGATCAATGTTGTGAAAGAGCCTGGGCATGTCCTGGGTGTTCTGGATGGACTTGTTAAATTTGAGATGACAGGTTCACTCAGTAAAAGGTGCGCACACTAGAAAGGAGGGAGGGGGCGTTCTGATCCTGCCTCAGCTGCTCACGGTCCTGTAACACTGAAGGAGTCATCTTCATTTTGGGAGCTGTTTCCCATCTTTAAAAATAAGAAACAATGAGGCCTCTGGTAGTAAGGATTCTCCTTTCGTCTTTAAGCATCTATGCATCTGTGATTCCTTAGCAAACCTATGACTCGGTTTTAGCAATGGGCTTACTCATTGTAATAAAAGACAAATTTAAAAATAAATAAATAAATATTTACACAACACACAGTGTTAAAAAGATGTAAGTAAGAGATGAAAGAAAGAAAATTATGTCCACAGTCCTCTCATCAAAATATGGCCTCCTTCTTTTTGGTTTTCCAGGCTTGTCCATTTCACTGATAATTGTCCTCATGTGTACATCTAATTGATTCCATATGACAGAAATGGAGAAGTCAGATTAGATTAGTTCTCAGATTCTGTGATGGCCAGCAGAGCGCTCTCCTGGGTCAGACAACGTTGCCAGGGTCTCAGAGGTTTAAATTAAAAGTCCAAACTTCAGCACCTGGATCTCTGCTCCCTCCTCTGCCTGAGTCTGATCTGCTCTCCCCACCCCCTGCTCCCAGGCTGGCTGAGCTCAGCTCCCTCAGAGCGGGGTCAGTCCTGGCAGCAGCAGGAAGACCCGGATGAGAGGAAGTCCTGCTCCCTCAAGCCACACCTGCTCCTCTTTTCCCGGAGACCGGGGGGTTCTGACGAGAACCCTCCAGACTCCACATGAGGGCTGAGAGGGAAGCCCGTGGCTGCTCTTTGACTGAGTCCTGAACAAGAGTTTTCCTCTATTGTTTTTTAAACATGCGTCTCTTTTAGCGGAGAATAATCTTTCAGCGCCCTTTAGAGAGGACACACCACAGCAGGAGAAGAAGTAGAGGAAAGGAAAACCAATGTCACTTGTTGAAATTACCTTCTAGGCCCAAGATGGAGCTGCTCCTGCCCCATGTGCCACATCAGCAAACTGAAACTTAGATAATTTTCCTGTCCCTGTAAATGCTGTGCTGGACCAGAATTGCAATCTATCCAGCCAGCCAGTCCCCAACTGCCAAGAATCTGTAACGATTTCCCTGTTCTAAATAAGGTCAGATATGCAACCCAAGCAAATCAACTTAAGCCAAATACTCTTTTCTTATTCCCCAATTGCCCTGTATCCTTATTGGGAAATCACTGGCCTCCTAGTTAATCCTGCCATCTTTCTGCATCCCTGCTCTTAAGGCTCCATATAACTCCACTTGCCCAAAATCCCAGGGAAGAGGGCTCCACTTCTTGTGAGTCACTGTGCTCCCCAGTCCATATATTGTCTTCCCTTGCATAAAGGCCTCAGTCTCATTACTAAATTATATTATTTCTGTAATTTGACATACTGGAAAAGGTATTTGTCTAGGAGTTGGGACAGTCTTCATTAACTATGGCTGGTTATTGTGAACATGTTACCACCCAAAGATGGTCATCTGCCCTGCACAAGACATGACAACAATAAAGAGACAAGGTGGTGGGAGATAAAGGGTTTTTTATTACAGCTTGCTAGCAAGGGGGAAGATGGCTGACTAATGTCTAAAAGAACCATCTTACAGAACAAAGACTACAGGCCAGTTATGTAAGGGTCTGGTTTCCATGTGAGAGAGCTATCTGGTCTCTGTGTGGGGTCATCCATCTGATCTCTGGGTGATGGCAGACATCTGGTCTTAGTTCTGATAATCTTTTGCTTTACTGGGTATGCATCAGAGATGAGAGCCACACCCTATACCCAGGCTTTTTAGTTGTCACAGATGATTGCCATCAATGTAGACTATCTGCCCAGGGGTCATCACATTCCTCAGGAACTAAAAAGAACAGAGTTATCAACTTTCAGCAGCTGGGAGGGGTCATAAAATCTACAGAGTATGTCAGGTTTAGTTAATCAGAGGTCATTCAAAAGTTGCAACGTGGTTTCTTTTCTACAACATGACTCCCCTTATATCAACCTTGTTTTGAGCTGGTATCAATTCCTCCCCCCTTTTTCTTCATCCCTCAATCTTGAGGGCTATCCTGTTGATGAGGGGCACAGGATGTTCCATCTCATTGAACCAGTGTCTTAGTAAGATGGTGATGCAGGTAGGCTCCCAAAGTTAGGCCTATGTTCTATAAGCAAGTAATCAGGTATTTAATAAGACAAAAACAAGGGTAATGGTGGGAGCCAATTATAAACCAGTTCCTGAGCCCTGGGGGCAGCCAGCCAAGATGATTTCTAGATGTCAGAGTCAAAGCATCTTTTGTAGTTTGAAATGTCTCTGATGATGTCATCAGGTATGTAGATATCTTTCTGAGTGGATTACATAGGAACAGATATGAATTTCTCTTAAGTTGATATCAAGTTCTCCAGCTTCAGTTTACAAGCCTTCAGGCAAAAAGGCAAGTTCAGTCTTCAATGATTCCAAACGAAAATGTTAGAAAAAATTGAAAACGTTTGTTTTGAGATTTGTAGCCAGAAATTTCAGGAGACTAGAACTATTCAGGATCTAGTCCAGTTAACAGATATAAAATAAAAACATCAAAGACAATTAACAGAGCTAGAATCTAACATCCATGAATATGTACTCTAGTTTCTACTGGAACATAATTTTCTCTCTACCATCACTCTATTTTTTTTTTTTTTTTTTTACAAAACATAGCCAAATTAAGACTATCTGGTTTGCAAAATAAGTCCAGTTTCAATAAATTTGGCCCAATTTTTTACATGAGTCCAGCAAGAATAGCCATTCATCATATAGGCTCTTTTAAATCTACCTTGCTGGAAGTTTTTATAAAGAAACTCAAATTGAAGTTTAAAGGCGTCTTGAAGCCAAGGAAACAAAGCCAAGGATTTGTCATCAGGCTTAACCTGCAATACCGTCAGAATTGGGTGAATTTCTCTCTTTTCAAGGTTTGCCCAAATATTTAGAGGCTCCTTGAACCTGCCAGAGAAATGATCTTATTTACTTACCTGTTAAGTTTGCTGGGAAAGCTGTAAACAAGATACCAGGCCAATATTTCCAAGTGGCTTTATTCCATGGAGTCCAATCTTTGTCTATTAAAGCTTAGTCATACCTGAGCCTATGCATTTTTCTCTCAAATATGACATTCCAGACAAAGCCATGGTAATATAACCAGTGTTTCCAAATGTGTCCTGTTATAAGGAGAACAGATTCTTATGGAACTTATGCAAATAATTCTATTGCCATGAAAATAATACTCACTCACTCACTAAGAGTTTCCAAGTTCTAGAGGGATCAGGTATGGAGAAAATAACTGTTTCATTTCTGCTTACAAAGGTATGGTTTACCAAATTGCTGTAAATCATAGCTAGCTTGAAAGAAATGAGAAAAAGATTTACTTAAATCTGAAAAAAAAACATTAAAAGTCAGCAATATTTCAAGTAAAAGTCATAAAAATTAGAACTGTCCTCATCAGTTCATTCACTTCTATGTAATTGATTCTTGACCTTAATCTTCTGTTAGCAGTTTCATGAAGTCATCATGGAAAGTTCTGTAATATTTTTCATCTGTAATCTCTTACCCAGTTCAGTTTTATGATCCAAAAGTTTATCATAGGTCCCCATGAAACAATGCTTAGCTATCCATTTAACTGTGATGACAACCAAAGATCTTGAAGGCAAACCTAGAAAGCCAAATAGTTAATAGAAACTTAATAGAGACACCTCAGTCTTTTTGAACATAGGAAATTATTTTAACAGAATATAATTTTTCTTTCTTTTAGGTAGACTTACTCAAAAAAAAAAGAAAAACCATTTATAACCTCTTTATCAAAAGCAGACCAAAAGTTCAAGATAATGATTCTTTTAAGAGAAAGAAGACGAAATTCTAAATTTGCACCAGCTTCCTTTTGACGTTAAAACTTATTCACTTAATTAAATTTATTTCAATCTTAGCCAACTAAGATTGTGACCAAGCAAAACTCTTTTCTCAGGGTTCCTCCCCCCAAACCTTCTATAGTTTTCTTTTTTTTACATTCAGAATTTGTCCCATGCCTTCTTTTCTTTCTTTCCCCCTAGTGCTTTTGGACAAATTTATCTTTATTAACAAAGCAAATATCTCTATTCCTTGCACCTCCTTTCTGAAAACATACATTTTAGTTTTCTTATATACAAACTTTCTAGAAATATATTTTCTCTCATAGAAAGTTCATCATCATGTACAAAACATATCTATCAACATACCCTAAGCATGTTTTTAGTTGCTGTGAGGTAAGAAACCAAAGGGAGACAAATCTATGCTTAATAATCAACTTCTAATATTTTATCTTATGTGGACATGACCTAAATACTCATCACAATTTTATCATTTAACTTAATTTAGTAAAACCCTAAAATGTTAAGTTACCAAAAAGCATTTGGACGCTGTTTTTTCAAGTATACAGGCCATAAAACATTATTATTGTATCCAAAAACTCTTAACCATTTCATCTATCTTAATCATTTGTTTCCAACAACTATATTTATATTTATATTACCCATGAAAACTTCATGAGACATTAGACAAAATTAGCTATCTTTTAAAGCTATGATTTTTGCTGACAAATGTGTAACAGATAACATGAGATTATTTGACTAGTAAATGAAGGCTGCATATCTGCATTGTATCCAAATACTGACAAATCTCGGAACATGCTTATTTCAATCAAACCAACAAACCTAAACAAGCTTTCATTCACCAAAGATTATTTCATATCATGTTAACTTGAAAGACATTTGGGTTATGTTCTATTACATTTAGAAATAAATTATGTAAACACTTACTTCAAGCCAATTAAATAGAGCTCTTAATTTTGGCCATACCATCCGGAGGTAAAATATCACACTTATATAACATACCTATAGACACAGATACACAGAGTCTCCACAGACACTATTTTAAAATTACTACCATGACTCAGGTACAATAATACAAAGTTCCCAGTTATGAATCCAAATTTTGTTTTAAGCCAGTTTTACTAATATTTGTGGAAAAGACACTCAAGAAGCTAGATTTTTGGTGAGGACACACTTATGCCTGATTTTCTTTTTTCTTTTTCTTCATTCCTAGGACTTAGTGATGGGCTAGATATTCCCTGGAGGGTTTGCAAGTTGCTTGAGATTAGGGAAGTGGATGGACCTTGGACAGCCTCTAGAGCTGCATTTCTAGTCTTGCAAGGATTTTTTTAAGGACAATTGCTCTTGATTTCTCAGAAATTGGGTTGTAACTTAATTGACAATTTCAGATTGATCTACTTGTCCAGCTACATCACAAAGACACAGAGAAACCACTCAAGTTTTCTCCAAGATGGAGTTTCTGGGGCATAACCCATCCAACTGAAAATGTTTCTAATAAATTAAAATGCACCCAAGGGGTGAGTCTCCCAGGATGTTTGGGGCATTCCCCACAATGGTAAAGCCCATGTCTGATTGACAGTGGGCCTGGAGAAGGGTGCAAAGCCCAACTGCAATTCTCAATATAGTTATAAGATTTAGTTAATTCCTACTCAGCCTTCTGCGCCAGCACAAGGCAAACTAGGGAGGTAAAAGGCCTGGGGCTCCAAATGCTGGGGTTGACAATTAAGTCAATGGCAGAAAGTTTTTCAAGTTTTTGGTTTTACAGAAGGTCCATGTTCTGCTCAGATACAGCCTGAACTTAACTTTGATATACTGACAACAGAGGAGGTCATGAATGAGACAGACAAAGAAGGGAAAGAGATGATAAAGGCTTGCCTTCATGGCCTCTTCCCAAGGGTTATCAGGATAAGGGTCACACAAGCAATTGTTCCCATGCTGGGACACACAACCCTGGCAGGACAGTTTAAAGAATAAATTACAGTTCTCCTGTCTCTGTTACTGACTCAGTAGGTGCCTAAAATAGTCAGCAGGTTCTTGACAGGAGAGAAAACAGGGTCCCAGATTGTCAATCAAAGGATTGCCCTAGTGCCAACCTTGAATCACTCCAGGTACCCAAACAGATTAAGAGAACCCAGGACTGCCAAGACAGGGCACCTCACTTGGGGTCACTGGACTGATCAGGCCTGGAAACCAGAGGAGAGCTGCCAGGGGTGGAACGTGGACTCTCTGAAACCAGAAGCCAGAGGAGTCCTCCCAGGGGTGGAGACTTCGACTCTTTAAATATTTCTTGGTTTCTTGGTTCCAAAACTCAAATAGAGCCCAAAGTGGCCCCTATAATTTTAATTTATCCCAGCTTATCTTGCCAGCTATTTACAGCTATCCCCATTTTAGGAAGTTTTTCCCAAGGCGGCCACAACAAACAAGGTAATTTTTCTAAAGAGAGGTTGTTATGATTCCCAAGAAACTCAGTCCCCAAACAACCAATTTTAAGCTATTTACTAACACAGACACAGATTCAGAAAATCCAGACACCACTGAACTAGTTCTCAGATTTAGGGTAACAAGTCCTACAACTGTTCCCACTCCGAATGTGTGCCCAAATAGTCCCATTGGACCCCAGAGGGCCTTGCCGTAAACAGATGGACCCCAGACAGAGGGAAAAGAATTTTATAGTCATCCCCGAGATGACTTACCCTATTCCAGATTGAGCCCATGGACTTAATATATGTTGCCATTACTCTTCCTACCACAGTGAGCAATAGGAAGCAGCAAGCTTGGGTGCAGGAAAGCAGGAAAGGCAGTTCCTGGGGACAAAGAGAACCTCTGCAGCCTCTAAGGACTTACCCAACAGGTTGCCCATCCAAGGTGAACTGGCCATGAGCAGGACATAAGGTCCCATCTGGGGTGCCAAATATGTTACCACCCAAGGGGGATCACCTGCCCACAGCAATACATGCCAATAGTCAAGAGGCAAGGTGATAGGAGAGAAAGGGTTTTTTATTGCAGCTTGCTAGCAAGGGGGAAGATAGCCAACTAATGTCCGAAAGAATCATCTTACAGAACAAAGTCTATAGGCCAGTTATGTAGGAGGCTGGTCTCCGGGTGGGGGCAGACACCTGGTCTTAGTTCCTGTAATCTTTTTTTTTTTTAATAATATGCATCAGAGATGGAGCAATGCTCTATACCCAGATGGTTCAGTTGTCATTGATGATGGCCATCAGCACAGACTGTCTGCCTGGGGATCATCACATTCAGAAGGAACTCAAGGAACAAAATTATCAACTCACAGCCACTGGGAGGGGCCATAAAATCTACAGAGCATGTCTGGGTTAGTTAATCAGAGGTCATTCCAAAGTTACAACATGCTTTCTTTTCTACAATATGACTTCCCTTATGTCAACCTTATGTTGAGTCAGTATTGAACAGTTGTTATGCTTTAAATTTGAGCAGTATTTGAATAAAAATGGTGATACTCATTGAGAGAAGCATAGTTTTGAATGTCGACAACATGAAATAACATTTTTTCATAAACCAGTAAATGATTGTGGATTTTGTCCCCCAATACTGTCTTCTTGTTGGTGAAAATCTATAATACGGAGAAAAATGAAAGAAAAGAGTTTACCCAATTGTTTACTGACTGTATTGAGACTCTTTCCACCTGTCCTTTTGCTATGTAGATGTCACCACAATTGTCACTTTCCTTTTCCAATTAACATTTTACAACAAATGTGCTAGACATCAGCAGAAGGTATAAATGATAGCCCTGAATATTCTTTTAGCAAAGTATTCTATTGCTTTATATTTGACCACCACCTCACCAACTCAGCAAGACCCCAAAGCCTACATCTGGGGACAATTGAGCCTTCAATCTCGGCTACAGCTGAGCAGGTCTGCCTTTCAGCTTTTACTATAGAAGAGGAGCTCAGGAAATGGGTCTGATACTAGGTGCTGAAGGACCCACATCTCCACTCCCCAGGCCAAATCCCCTTTCCAACTGTTTCTTTTTCTTGGCCATCAAGGTATAATTAGCATAACTAATTAGCATAACTATACCCAGGAAGCACTGTGTAGAATTAGCATAACCGAAAAGGAACTTCCCTTTCAGTTGGAAGTCTAGGCTACCTCTATTTCTCAAAGCTTCATTTCACAAGCATTCTTCAGCTGATCTTTCACAATGTCATCTTGCCATTTCTGAGGATACGGTTCTGGAACAGGAGGGCCTGGTCCAGCCCCTGACCCTCCCTGCCCCCTGGTTCAATCTAGGCTTCTTCCTTTGGCTATGCACTCACATATACACATGGCTGAGTCTCCAAAACTATTATATTCCCTATAATTTCTACTTTATGTGGACCCCAGAGATCATCCACTGCAACCTGGCAGTTTCAAGATAAACAATAATCCCACCATGTCCTTAGAATTTCTATGCATCTGCGACTGGCTACATGCTTTGCTCACATCATCCTGGTTACTCTCCAGGCAACCATATGAGTTCCCTTTTTTTACAGATGAGGAAAAGGAGGTGACATAATTTGCCCAAGACTATGAGAATGCAAGCAACCTAATGAGACATGCCATCTGCAAGGTACCTTTCCTAGCAAGATAGGGCCCCTAACGAATAGGAAAACTAGGAAAATCAGATAGAGGCCACAAGATACACATTTCACAGCCTCTGGACTTTCCTGGGCTCAAGCATGCACTCTAGTGCCCAAGAGCCCACTGAAGGTGGCCCTAGCCCCATTAACAGAGTAAAACTCACACCCAGGGGTGGAGAGCTAGCATGCTAACGATACATGCATTCCATCTGAGGGCATGCTACATGACAGTGCAGGTGTAAGCACAACCCCCACCTCTACATGCCATGACAAGGCCCTCCTCCCCAGTCATGGCCTAAGAAAAACCCCACAACCCTGTTCCCTAACGAGCTGATCACCTGCCCCTTTTCTTTCCTCCCCAGCTCCCTTGAGCCTCTCCTGTGCGCAAGCTAATAAGATTTTACTTTTCTGCTCTTGTTTGTTGTCTCTCTTGATTTCTATCCTGGGGGACAATAAGAACTCTGGTAGCTACTACAAATCTATCGTGATATTTTAGGGCATTTAAAATCTCCTTCTGATGAGAACACTAGCTAAATATGTTCATTCCAGCTCAGACAGTGGGCATGTGTTTCTGGCAGGGATTGCTGTTCTGTGCTTGTCCCTCCCTCCCAAGCAAGCAGCACACTCATTGGTCTATCAAGTGGGAAGTGAAGCATTAGATTTGTCTCCAGCCAGACCAGGCTCTATATCCCTACCTCATTCTCCACAGATCTTGGCAATCTATAGAAACAGAAAGTAGTTTAAGGGCAAAGCATTTATTTGTGATCAAAGAATTGCAATTTTGGGAACACAGATATACGTAGAAACCATAGTGGTGTCCTGATTATAAGAGAGGACCTCAGGGTTTTTAAGGGAAAAAGGGAGGAAGATGAAGTTAGTTGTATTAAAGAAGAGTTCATCGGTGCCAGATGAGGTAGGCTAGGATTGTAATTCATAAACTGGCTTGAGATTCAGTCATCAGGCAAAAGGCTAGACTCATACTTCATTGATTGGTTAGCAATTCAATCATCAGCAAAATCCAATTTCATCAGTTCTTACAAACAGGATATTCTTGTCCTTACTGACTGCTTGGAATGCTGGCAATTTGACCCAGTTTGGAAGACAAAGAAAACAAGATGAGCAAGGCAATTCCTCTGAAATGGCTGCCCTGGCTTCATTTTAACACACTGCACTCATGTCATCTATCACGATGTGCAGACTTGGGAACATGATTTAAAGTATCAGCCCCACCCCCATTTCTAAACTGAGGATAATAATATTTATCCCAAAGGGCTATTCTCAGGATTTAATAAAATGATGAATATAAAGTAATTAGAGCAGTGCTACAGTGTAGTCCATGTCCAATCAAAGAATGCTATTACTGCTGTTATTATCCCACCAATTATTCTCTAGGATTCTCAGAAATCTCACCATTCATCATCCCTCCCTAAACCTTGTGGCCAGACTTTTGTCTCTTCTCTCTAGACCCACTCCTCCCTCATTTCTCACTAGTCACCTCCTTGTGCCCCCAGGAAAGAAGCAGCTGAGGCCCTAACCTTGCCTCCACCACGCACCAAAGTGTGACTCCTCTTACAAGATCACTCTGGGATTCTTTCCACCAGGGCAGGATGCAGGGCCATGCTGGTCTCCTTGCCCTCCCATGTGCCCTCCTGTTCCTGGTAAGTCCAACCCCATTTTCCAGTGTAGCGTGCACAGGAGGGTTCTGAGGTTCTTGCCACCCCTGCTTCACCACTGTCTCCCTCGCAGGTGAAGAGGCAGCAGTTAGGCTGGGGGACCGGGCCTCAGGGGTGGTGTGCACTATCACCTTGGCTCAGCTTGGCCATCCTACCATGCATGCCCACACCATGATCAGCTCCATCCACTTGGTACCACTGCTACCGAATCAAGATGAGTTCACTCCCTTGTGACCTAAAGTCAGACTCTCCACCAGACGTAGCTGACACACAAAGTAAAGTATATTTGTAGCAAACAGGAGACTATGCAGAAGCATTTCCAGAGTTATGGGACTCCCCAAACAAAGGGAAGGAGGTCCTTTTATTTTGGGTGGGGAATGAATATTTCAAAGGGAAGTTTTGTCATCACATGTAGAGGTGGGTATTAGCTGGCACGGGCACAGTCTGAAAACATGTTCTCAATACATCACATGTTACACTGATAAGGCTAGGCTCCTCCTAAGCAGAGATTTCAGTATTACGATGAGGAAAAAGGGCATTTTCTGGTCACCTTCAGATCATCTGGGCAGGTGCTGCCCTTGCTGTGAGGATCAATTTGATTCAGGGCAGTTGATGCTGGCATCTCTTCCCCACATAGCTCTGAAGAACATCCTTGAGGGAGTGTTAAGCACCTTTAAACTTCCTCCAGCTGCTTAGGGCATGCACCTGTGACTCCACAGTCACTGGACAGCAGGAACCCTGAGAGACTCCTCCGACTGGCCATGTTCAGACAGATGTGCAGTGGGATTCAGTCCTGAAAGAAGATAAAGTCACCATGATGGAGGTCAAGGATGGCACATGTATTCTGTCTGTCTTGGAGGGTGGGAAGCGCAATGCAGGCATGTGCTACTGCACTTCTTGGAACCAGCACAGCTACACGAGCTGCCCTGTACCCCATGCAAAAAGCACGTGGACTCCCTACTCTGTCAAGGCCTGGCAACTTTCACTACCTCTGGGTCCCTTTGGTTACCCTGGGGTCATCCCTCATTATCCTGGACTCTCCTAGACGTCACCTCCACCCATCCACTGCAGGTAACAGATAGAAAAAGAGTCATTAGTGCACAGGCTGACACAGACTCAGGGAGCTATCTAGTCAGCTTAACAAGACAGGGCTATCTGCAAGGCCCCTGGCCTAATAAGGTAAGGCCCCTAACCAATTGGCAAGCTAGGAGAATGAGATAGAGGCCACCAAAACCCGCATTCGCAGCCTCGGGACATTCTTGGGCTTACACATGCACCCTAACACCCAAGAGTCCACCGAAGGTGACCCTAGCCCTATTAGCATAGTAAAAATCACAGCCAAGGGTGGAGAGCTAGCATGCTAATGATACATGTGTTGCATGTGGTGGCATTTTGAACAACAGTGCAGGCACAAGCACAACCCCACCTCTGCATGTCTTTGCCTAATAAAAGCCCCAGAATCTCGCTCCCTAATGAGCTGGTTACCTGCCCCTTTGTTTTCTGCACTGACCCCCTTTTGCCTCTCCTATGGACAAGCTAATAAACTTTACTTTTCTACTCCCGTTTGTTGTCTCTCTTGATTTCTATCCTGGGGGATAGTAAGAACCCAATGTTCTGGTAATGGTTTCATTAATCTTTTCTATTTTCCTTTTAGTGACTCTTTCATGTATTTCCACTCTGATTTCTATGATTTCCCTCCTTATACTGATTTCTGGCTTCATTTGCTCTTTGTTTTCTAGTTCCTTTAGGTGTAATGTTGGAGTGTTTATTTGAGGTTTTTCTTCTTTTCAGAGTTGGGACAGTATTGCTATAACCTTTCTTTTCAGTATGACTTTTCCTGCATCCCATAGATTTTGGTATGTTGTGTTTCATTTTAATTTGTATTTAGGTATTTGTTTTATATCTCCTTCAATTTCTTAACTGACCAATAGTTATTCAGTAGCATAATTGTGGCTTTTCCAGCTTTCTTCTTATAGTTTATTTCTCGTTTCACATCCTGTGATCAGAAAAGATGCTTGATGTTATTTCAAATTTTAGTTCAAATAAAGAATCTATGATTTCATAGGAGATAGAATTCTATAAATTTCTTCTTTTACTCCAGGAAAAGTAAATTATTTTCTCATTTGGAATTGCAGGGTAAAGAATCATATTGCCAAATGGTAAAAGTGGCTTTATTAAAAATGAAGAAATCGGTGCACATTTCTCAAATATAATTATATTGGCATTTTTCCATTTCAGTTACTGGAGAGTTTCTTCCATTCAGAAATACATGCCTGAATTGCTGAGAACAAAAGGGACGTTCCTTTGATGCAATCTCTGAGCAGTTACAACACAATTGAACATCTGGATATTAAAAAAAAAAAAAAGCCTTAATTCTCTGAGTGCTTTTCCTAGTAATTTAGAAAAGTAATTGGTTGACTAGTTAGGCCTGATCTCTTCTTTTGCTGCTTTTATTATTTCCATTTTCCATCATTGCTTTTCAATGATTACTGTTTTGTTGGAAAACAGACATTTGCGTCAATTTATCTGAGGAAAAGTTATAAAATATGTGATACCACAAAACTTATATTCAAGGACTTCCAAAGGAACCCAGAAGATCCAATTGCTGGTACACGGTTTTTAAACTGCTAGTTACATCATGAAGCTTAGGAGGAGGCTGAGTTTTTGTAGAAGTTGTAACCAGTGTGATAGCTCAAGCTGGATCAAGAAATTTGGAAAAGGGACTAAGCTCATAGTAACTTCCTCTGGTAAGTAACTTTTTTCTATTTTTGCCCTAGTAATGAAAAAATGATAGATGCTTTTTTGGAAAAACAATTTAGGATCACACTTATCTGACTGCCACATGCTTGGCCTTAGCATATGAACAGCGAGTTCGCAGCTACTAATCACTATATGTGAAAACAAAACTACTTCATAAATGGTTTGTTTACTTCCATAATTGTTAGCAGATTGAAACATTACTTTTAGAATACACACACAGAAATGATAGACTCAGACTAGAAATTAAGATATATTTTGGACCACATCTGTAAACATTTGGTATAAGTTATGGATTCAAGATGCTTTTGTTGTATACTGCCTTTTAAGCGGAAGATACTTTTACTAATTACCTCTTGTCTATATTTTGAGACAAAACATAGTGCTCCTTTCTCACAATAACCTGCAAAATCTATGTACTGGTTTTCATCTCATTCCTCCCAGCAATGCAAAACATGAATTCTTAGAGTAAATGACTATAGAACATTGATAAATCTCACTTATTATTACTCTAGGTTCTTAGATGTAGGCTGAGAGCAGTCAAAATTTATGACAAATCAATTGACTTGCATAGAGATGGATCAGTTTAAGGGAATATATAAGTTTAATAAAACATTTCAGCTCCAAAGTCCATGAAAAGAGTCTTCACGGTTTTACATCCTCATTTGCTCATTCATTCTGTCAGCAAATACTCAATGAAGACAGTTTCTGTGCTGGATAGCGGGGAGAAATGGGGGAAGAAGATAAAGATAGAAAACTTCCCAATACTCCAAAAACTTCTAGTCTAGTGGATAAGTGTTCTAACTTATACAGATAAATGTATTAATTATCTTCTAGTCTACAGGTTACATTAGAACAATGGTCAGCATTTGGAAAAAAACTTTCAATTTCTAAGACTAATTGTTACCTGCTTCTGTAAAAAATAGAATCTAATAAGAATTATCTCAAATATTATTAGCCTGAAGAAGGTGATCCTTCGTTTACCAGTATAAATACCTGGAAGTCCAAAAAAGAGGTGCTCTTTCAAGTTGAATGTATAAATTTATAGTGATATAGGTAAAAGTCAAATATCCACTTATAATATTTCTTAGTTGGATTATAGCTAAAAAGCTAAAAGTTATATTAATACAAATATCATTTGAGCAATATTACTTTTTTTGCACTAATTTTGTTAAAAATTTTGTTCAGACTCTTCACATGCATCAGCAACATCTACCTTAGGGAAACTTTCTAGATCAACTCAGGAGCTGAGTGTCTGTTTTGGGATCCCCGTACACGATGTCACTGGATATTTTATCTAAAGAGACAACTATCCATTTACAAACTAAAAGGAAATGATTTTTTTCATGTCTTCTGTGATTCTATAAACATGCAATGTAAACACAAACTGTAGAGCTGTAGTCCCGAGTAGTATTTACCAAATCCACGTTAAATTTCTTTACTTTCTTTTGCAAGTGTTAGTTCCAAAATTGGCATTAATTGAGTTCATTTCAAGTGGTGATCTTGTCCAAGTAGTAGTTTTTGATCATAGCAGAATATAAGAAGAGCATCTTTTAATAGGAGAGGTGGCACAAGGACTGAAACATAAGATGACTCCCGTTCTCTGAGGGATAATTTTGAGAAAGAAAGCCTCTCTTTATGTTCTGGCACTTTGAGTCTATCTGAATTCTGCCTGTTTTGTTTCTATATCACAGAGCCAGGATTTGCAAATATATTCTCCCACTTTTCATGTCATATTCAAGTTAGACCTTTAACTAAACTATCAACCGCTGGGGCAGAAAAAGAAATAAGCTATAATGCACAAAATATTTGTCATTTATTTCAAGTGCCTATTCCCAGAATCCATTTGGGAAGACCTAAAATCAAATACACAAGCACAGGCATACCTCATTTTGTTGCGTTCTGCTTTAATACAATTTGCAGATATTGCATTTTTTAAAAATAGAAGGTTTGTGGCAACCCTGTATTGAGCAAGTCTATCAGCACCATTTTTCCCAAATCATTTGCTCGCTTCATTTCTCTGTGTCATATTTTGGAAAGTCTTCCAATATTTCAAACTTTTTCATTACTATTGCATCTGTTGTGGTGATTTGTGATCAGCAATCTATGACATTACTATTGTAATTGTTTTGGAGTACCATGAACTGTGCCCACATGAGATAGCGAAGTTAATGCATGAACATTGTGTGTGTTCTGACTGCCCCACTGACTGTTCCCCATCTCTCTCCCTCTCCTTGGGCCTCTGTATTCCCTGGGACATAAAAATATTGAAATTAGGCCAACTAATAACCCTATAATGGCCTCTAAGTGTTCAAGTGAAAAGAAGAGCTGCATGTCTCTCACTTTAAGTTAAACCTATAAATGAGTAAGCTTAGTGGGGAAGACATGTTGAAAACCGAGATAAGCCAAAAGCTAGGCCTCTTGTGCCAGTTAGCCATGTTGTGACTGCAAAGGAAAAGTTCTTGAAAGAAATGAAAAGTGCTACTCCAGTGAACACATGAATGATAAGAAAGCAAAACAGCCTTTTTGCTGATGTGGAGAAAGTTTTGGCAGTCTGGATAAAAGTTCAAACCAGCCACAATGTTCACTTAGGCAAACATCTACTCCAGAGCAAGGCCCAGCTCTCTTCCATTCTGTGAAAGATGAGAGAAGTGAGGAAGCTGCAGAGGAAAAGATTGAAGCTAGCTGAGCTCCATTCATGAGGTTTAAGGAAAGAAGCCATCTCCGTAACATAAAAGTGCAAGGTGACGAAGTAAGTGCTGATGCAGAAGCTGCCGCTTCCAGAAGATCAAGCTAAGATAATTCATGAAGATGGCTACAGTAAACAACAGAACTTCAATGTAGATGAAACAGCCTTATGTTGGAAGAAGATGCCATCTAGTAATTTCATAGTTAGAGAGGAGAAGGAATTCCTGGCTTCAAAGCTTCAGAGGACAGACTGACTCTCTTGTTAGGAGTTTATGCAACTGATGCCTTTATGTTGAAGCCACTGCTCACTTACAATTCTGAAAATCCTAGAACACTTAAGAATTATGATAAAACGACTCTGCCTGTGCTCTATAAATGACACAACAAAACCTGGGTGACAACACATCTGTTTACAACATGGTTTACTAAATATTTTAAGCCCACTCAAGAGAACTACTGTTCAGAAAAGAGGATGTCTTTCAAACCATTATTTCTCATTGACAATGCACCTGGTCATCCAAGAACTCTGATGGAGACGTGCAATGAGATTCACATTGTTTTCATGCCTGCTAATGTAACATCCATTCTGCAGCCCATGAATCATGGAGTAATTTTGATTTTCAAGTCTTATGATTTAAGAAATAAGGCTATAGCTTCCATAGGTAGTTATTCCTCTGATGGATCTGGGAAAAGTAAATTTAAAACCTTCCAGAAAGGATTCACCATTCTAGATGAGGTTAAGCATATTTGTGATTCGTTGAAATTGATCAAAATATAAACACTAATAGGAGTTTGGAAGAGGTTGATTCTAAACCTCACGGATGACTTTGAGAGGTTCAAGACTTCAGTAAAGGAAGTAACCACAGATGTGGTGGAAATAGCAACTAAAAATAGAAGTGAAGCCTGAAGATGTGACTGAACCGCTGCTATCTGATGACAAAACTTTAACGGACAAGGAGTTGCTTTTTACGGATGAGCAAAGAAAGTGCTTTCTTGAAATGGAATCTCTTTCTGGTGATGATGTTGTGAAGATTGTTGAAGTGATAATGAAAGATTTAGAGTGTCATGCAAACTTAGTTGATAAAGCAGTCTCAGGGTTTGAAAGGATTGACTCTAATTTTGAAAGAAGCTCTACTGTGGGTAAAATGCTATCAAACAGCAACACACGCTACAGAGAAATTGATTGTAAAAGGAAGAGTCAATGGATGCATCAAACTTCATTCCTGTCTTATTTTATGAAATTGCCACAGCCACCCCAACCTTTAGCAACCACCACCCTGATCAGTCAGCAGCCATCAACATCTAGGCAAGACCCTCCACCAGGAAAGATTTTGACTTGCTGAAGCCTCAGTGGTTAGCATTCTTAACCAATAAAGTATTTTTTAATTAAGCCATGTACATTGCTTTTTACACATAATGCTATTGCACACGTAATAGACTACAGTATAGTGTAAATATAACTTAAATATATGCTGGGAAACCAAAAATTGTGTGACTTGCTTTATTGAGGTATTCAGTTTATTGCAGTGGTCTGGAACTGAACCTGCCATATCTCCAAGGTATGTCTGTGCAGTCAGACCATGAAATAAAAATAGAAGATCCAAACCATGAAGGAAAGCAGAAGAAAAAAGAGCTGTGAATATCTAGCAAGGAGCATAGGGTAAAATTTTATGTTCAAAGGTAGGAGAAGAACATAAAGTAGAATTCATAGTTATCGTTAACTGATGAAAAAAACACATTAAATTTTCAAGTAGGATATGTTTTCCCACCATAAAATTAGAAAAGGACTTTAATGCATGAGTCCTTTAGGAGGAAAGTGAAGTAATAGGGTGGACATTGCCTTCAACATACATTTTATAAAGTGGAAGAAATAGTCTTTCGCAAACCCATTTTATACCACTACTGCATCAACGCTTTGGGCATCGTCACATTGAATGTCATCCACAGAGGGTGACCCTCAGCAGACATGGTCAGGCAGGTAGCATTTAGTGTCTAATGTGACAATAGGAGGATCTGAGGACAGGCCTCCTGTCATCTTTTTAATCCTTCTGTCTTGAAGGCCCACTGCCAGGAGTTTCAAGCTGAACTTTCTTAATTAGCTGAAAAGATGTCACTTTGAGGCTTAAATTTCTGGTGAAAACTTGAAATGCAAAAGAAAAGAGCCATTTGTTTGGACAACACAAGTGAAGCAGTTCCATACACTGACTACATATTATTAGGATTTACCCAATGATCCTTTGACTTTCTTACACTGGGAATGGAGCAGATAAGACAAGACAAATGATTACCTCCTAATTGGATGTGTAAAAAGCATGTTTCCTGTGTTTACGGCTTTGAGAATTCCAGGCATATTAGAGCAAAGTGGAATCCAAATGAAGGGACAATTCTTCACACTTAATTGCCGCAATCAAATTGCAACCCCAAAATACTGAATTCCTGTTAGTAAGGGCAAGGTTTGGTCACATGAGATTAAAATATAGTGTTGGAACACACAATCATTATAAACAAATTGTTAATAATAATGATAATAATAATCATTATTGTAATCTCTATTTCCACAGCATTTTTAATCAAATCGTGTTCTAAATCTTGTTTCGTTTTGGTCTCACTTCAGCTCTGGAAGAGGTGTTGAGTTGATTTACACTAACATCACAATGTGCAAACAAATAAAGCACAAAAGACTTTAATGTACTTGATTTTTTCAGTCACAGAACTTGTTCCCAGCAAGGCTCCCCAGGATAGAACTTTGGTCTTTTGATTGCAGGCCACCATAGTTTCCTAGAATTTGAAGACCTCAGAGAAACTAAACTAGTCTAAAATTTTTGATATGGATTGATCACTGTGGAATTACTATACAAAACTCCTTGGTGATGGAACAAAACTTGTCATCATTGGTAGGCATCAGAAGAATGGAACTTTTCCCGGTAATAGAGGAAAGGCAAGAAGCAATTAAATTGGAATAATAAAGAATGATTAGGAAAAGCAAGAATGTGATGGAGATCAATTGTAGAAACCTTAGAAGTGATTTTAAAGCAAATCATTTGGCACAGAACAGCATAGTCAACATTGTGCAAATATTAGAATAGGGTCTGGTTTCGTGTAAATATGGACTTATTAAAGGACTCAAGTATAATGTATGAGTCATGAAAGTGTTTGGCCCTCGGACAAAGTTTACGATTACAGATAAGTTTGTGAGTTGACACATTTCCTTTCCAACGGTGAGAGGGTGTTGTCAAAGAGCCTGGGCTTTGGTGTCAGGCTAACCTGGATCCACCACTTTAGGTCCTGCTTATGCAAATTGGTGCTTATTCTCTGGCCTCAGTTTCCTAATCCATAAAATGGGAAGACAGTGTGTATCCAGCAGGGCTGGTATGAGAATGGAATGAAATAGCATGAATAAAGTGCTCGGCAAATTGTCAACACATAACAGGTGCCAAATACACGTTCCCCCGACTCAAATGTGAAGGGAGAATTGTACCCAGTGTGAAGAGTTGTTTGCAGCCAATGACACTGACAGAGCAGCAACTCTCCAGAGGATTAGCTGTACTTCAACTGCTCCAATGGAAACTCATCTCACTGTCCACTTGCACATATAAATGAGTTTCGGGGTGTTTGTTTCTCTTTAGCAGACTTTTCCCTCACTTGGCAAGAAAATGAGATGAAAATGTGTTTGATTATTTTGTTATTGATATTCCATGTGCTTTACATCTTAATCCGTTATTTTAATTGATATCATCTCTAATGCCAACATTTATCGGCCCAAAAATTTGCAGCTAGTAAGTTATGGCTTCATACTCTTGTTTATCAGAAAGAAAAGTTTAATTCATATAGAAATTGTTCAAAATGAAAAATCAACTATAGTAGAAACTTGTCATAATTTGAAATGCATATTTAAATATGAAATATCTATAATTATTTATTTAATAAAAGAAAAATTACAAGAAGAAACTAGAGAACACTTAAAATCACTCTGCAGGTTTGAGATACCATACCTTCAATAAAATGTTTTGTTGACAATTGGTAAATTTATTTGGAATTCATACTGCAGCACCTTAATAAAATGTAAAGAAGTCCTGAAATTTCACTCAAATGTGTTACTTGATCATACAGATGAATGTATATGAAGTAATTAGACGGGTTTATTTACGTTTTTCTTGGTTTCCATTCTATGTATCATGAAAATGATTTTGACCATAGAAAACACTATTAATATATTTTTTTAAATATATTTAAAGAACAAACATGTAATATAATTATTTAAAATACAGGCACTAACCATACATACATAAGTGCACTACCTAATGCTTCGTTAACCATTATACTGAGAAAGCTATGTGAATTCAAGATTAGTTTTATTCTGAAAACAATGAAAGTTAAAGAATCTAGCTAAGGAAAAGGGGCAGGAGGTAAGAATAGTGTGTTATCACACAGAAATTTTCCAGTTCATTATTTTATTTTCAATTTATCTAATATAATGAATCAGAAGTATCCCTATAAAGAAACAAAAGTTCCTAAGATGAAAATTAGATTTTTTTTTTTTTTTTTTTTTGGTAAGGAAGTTTCGCCCTGAGCTAACATGTGTTGCCAATCTTCACCAATTTTGTATATGTATCGCCATCACTTCACGGCCACTAAGAGTGGTGTAGATCCTCCATGGGAACCGAACCCAGGCCACTGAAGCAGAGCACAGTGAACTTAACCACCACGCCACCAGGGTGGCCCTAGTTTCTTTAATATATTGACTAAAGGTGAAAATTATATAAATTTAATGTATGATTGAAAAATTAATCTTGTTTAATATAACATGCTTTGGAAATTAAAAACAAAGTAAATGGTTGGAGAAATATAGTTTTTTATTGTCATAATCAATAAAATATCAATAGCACTAAAAGCAAGATGTATAAAATTAAAATAAGCACATTATAACCTAATTGCATTTACAGTATGAGTAAAAAGCTCAACATAGTTTGCTGCTTAATTTACTATAAAAATCTGGAGCTTTGCTATATAGGCAGAACTTCTCAAGAATTTTTCGTCTTTTTTCTCAAATAAGAAATTTAATTCCACTTTTCTTAAGAAATTGTCCATTGAATTATTTACTCCAAGCAAGCCCAAAGACAATAAATATTAGTAAAGCATTTGTGAGTCAATTGGAAATCAAATTGAAGGGTTTTAATATTTATAATTGCCATCATTAGATTAACAATAAACATATAATCAACTAACATCCCAGCATAAAAGTGACATGCCTTTGTTGTATGATGTTTTCTTATATATTTTGACATTATGTCTGCAAGAGACTCTGGAACTGTGACACTTAACATTACACCAACCAGCAGGTGAAAACAGAGAAAAGAATGGAGCTCTAAAAGAATATCACAGCCCTATAGGCTAGAGACAAATTATGGAGGAGACACTGAGAGTCAAAATGTGGTGTATTATTAATCAGGCTTAAACTTAAACAAATGCCACAATAAAATGTGCTTTTGGTGAACATATTCTAAAGTGAAGCAAAATTCTAAGTGCAGTACCTGATAAGATTATTATAATAGCGTTTCTGAAAATAATCAATAAAAATTTTAATAGGAGTTTTGGAAACATTGCTATTTTGCTTCTAAATTCAAGGCATTGTAAATACTTTGGAGGTGCATTATTAATACTGTTCTACTCTAAAATCTGGAGTGGTTCAGGGGTGAAATTCAGACGTTATATAAAATTAGACATCAAGTAGGAGAACACTATTACCTCAGAACTGAGCATGGGACCCACATATGAAGCTAACAAGTCAACTCGATTGTCAAGTACACGAGGAAATGGATTCCTATTAACAAGCGACTGTGCATTGTTTTTAAAAAAATGAAAAACTTCTCCCTGATATTTATTTATATGACAAATAAGCCAAGTAAGGTGCATTCCAGAAAGAGTTAAATGAAGAGTGAGATTTCACAGACTTGCAGAAATGAAAAAGTGATACTTGGCCAAAAGAGCATAAATTACAAAATTCATGGGATGGTAAAAGGGACGTACTTTAGAAAGGACCAGACATTCTCATGTGTAGAGACATCATCAAAGTTACCTGATCTCCTCCCCTATTCCTACCACCTACCTACCCACCTTGAAAACAAACTCTGCTATGATAGAACAAAGAGATTTTTAAAAATACGTTTGTTCATGAATGTTAGCTGCCTTGCAATGGAGCAGCTAAAAGTAATACCCCATCTTAGGATGTCGAGACAGAACAAAGGCCAAGTTGAAATCCAGGCTCTGCCACTTAACAGCTGTGACTCTGGATAAGTCACATAACCTCTGGAACCTCATTTCTCATTGAAAATAAAACCAATAAAAACCTCACAGCCTATGGTGGAAGAAAGGCCTTGGTAAGCACTAATTCAATGGCAGCTTTTCTTCCTATTGCTATGCGCTAGGTTGTTGCAAACCACACAATCATTGTGCATCTCTAATGATTCTTTTTAATTGCTATTCCATTTTCCCCCACAGATAGACGCCTTCCTGCAGACATTTCCCCCAAGCCCACCATTTTTCTTCCTTCGCTTGCTGAAATAAACCTCCATAAGGCTGGAACGTATCTTTGTCTTCTTGAGAATTTCTTCCCTGATGTTATTAACATATATTGGAAAGAAAAGAATGGCAAAGCAATTCTAGAATCCCAGCAGGGAAATACCATGAAGACTAATGACACATACATGAAATTCAGCTGGCTGACCGTCACTAAAAAGTCAGTGGATAAGAAACACAAATGCATCGTCCAACACGAGCACAATAAAGGAGGGGTTGGCCAAGAGATTATTTTTCCTTCAGTGATTGAAGGTATGTATATATAAATACACCTCCTAGAACACTTTTTTTTCAAAGGGAATATCCCACCTTTTCTGTCAAGTATCAATGAAAAGCAAACAAATATAAATGTTTCTTAAATGTTGTTCTATTTATTGGTAGCAAAAATGTCCCTCTATTTCCCCAATGAATTAAAATATTATAGGCTTCAGAACACAAAAAGAAAGAAAAGAAAAATTTCCTTAACTTTTCTCAGCCTTAGTTTCATCAACCAAAATATTAAGTTCTTAGAGACATTTTTCAGGATTGTTGACGGATTAAATGATACCAAATACGTGAAAGCACCTAGCACCGTAGCACACAAGACATACTCAAAGAGAGATTCCACTTTTGATGATCTTACTTGATCGGGAAAGAAGTACGACTCTATGTCTTTCCAGGACATTCTACTCAACAAGCAGAGTCACTCTCACTTTCATCCTGCTTTACTCAGAGTACAACCTCAAAACAATGCTATTAGACAACCAAATGGTGTTCATTTGAGGGAGCCAGGTGGTAGCTCAACAGAAAAATAAATAGTTTGGCCACTGCAGTACTATTATGGTCTTAGATGTTCTGCTTTTGTATTTCATATACCACCATACGGTAAAATTTCCTACTTACAGGTTGGATGAGGCTAATGTGTACACACATGCCTCCATTCTACGTAATGAATTTATTTCTTGCCATTGGTAAATGCAGCTCAGCAAAGATTTATTGCAGAACTGGCCTGTGCCAGGCCTGGAAGGGATGTGTGGATGGGGACACGAGGATGAATTATTGCCCCAAGGAAGATGCACTGTTGTAAGAGAACACATTTTTTTCATAATCACTCAGGTCACACATGATTCAGGCATGATGTCCCAAAAGAGTCCCTTTGACGCAGGTGCTGCACGTATTCAGACAGTGTGAGCAGAGGACTGAATGTGCCTTGGTCTTGGCGATGGTTCGGTAACTCTCTAGACTCAGGACTTAAAGTCCTGAGTATGAACACAACAGAACAGGAGCCCCAGAGGACCTATAAATAGGATGGAATCAGAGTGTACTTTTCTCTATGGTTAACAAGCCCTTTTGAAGCAGTGGGGAACGAGCACAAAAAAAAAAAATGTGCGAAGACCTTTGCTGTGTACCAGTATGAATTTCTGAAGGCAGTCTTTATCTTCTGGGATTCTTAGTTTCTTCAGTGACCAGATATGGTTCCAACACTTGTCTTGGCTTTCTCTTGGGGCTATGATGAAGAGCAAATGAAACAATGTCAGTGAAAATACTTGCTTTTGAAAACACAACATGGATGTATTTATTTATCTGTTTATTGTACTTTTTAATATCCTCTCCTAAAACTAACATAAAATTTATAAAACTGCCCTAATTTACTATTTCTACAGCTAAGAATCCCAGGGAAGCAACACATGCAAAGCACAAGTTTAATATAACCATTTGGCTTAAGTGTCCTGTGAGGTTTTGGTTTTTCTAGAGATCAGGAAGAAACGAGACATATAGTAAGTTTCATGGTGATGATTATCATAGAGAGGTTGTAGTTCATAATATATTTTACTTGGCACCTAATTTCTGAAACAAATGTCTCCTATGGGCTTCTCAGGGCACCAAAGCTAATGAGGACATTTCTGTTAGTGCCATTATACAGCAAAATTTCTAATGATACTTCTTGGAAGTTGTTTTGTTTTTGATAAAAGGTGAGAATATAACATAGAAGCACAAATCGATGAAGTGATTTGAAAGAAGATAAACCTAGTCTGGTCCAAGTTTTTGACCAACCTTGATTGCGAGAGAGAACTTAGGATACATACACAGATTTTATTATGAAGCACTGTTACCTTATTGTTTTCCCTCAATCAATGCATAATGATAAAGAGTTTTATTTATCTTTTAATGAAAAAGTCATTGTTACAAAACAGAGACTTTTAAGACACAGTAAATTCAGTTCTTGAAGATATTTTAACGTCGAAACATGATTATGCTAACATTTTCATTCTTGGAATTTATTCCAAATCCTATTTTGATATCCGTCAAAAAGATCTCATTGAGTGCATAAAATTGCATACTAAAACCATATCCATATGGACAAGAACACATCTAGTAGAAAAACAGTAAACAAAAACTAAGGTCTCTACTGTGTTTTCCTCCACCCAACAGGCAACTATATTTAAAAACATCTTTTATCATTGCACGTTTGTCTTACTTTCTTTTTTACATTGCAGACAAGTCTCACAACAGGTTGTACATATTCAAAGAAGTTAAATATGAATTGGACTACCTTTCTATCTTTGGAAAGAATTGCAATGAAATTCTGAGCTGCCGTAATGAAAAGGTCATTGGCTAAAAATATTTAACACATCTGGAAGAGAACACATTTTCGGTGTCCGCAAATGTGGAATTGTGGAGTTCCCTTATAGATTATTTTCTATTTCTATGGGTTATGTTTACAAAGTCTTTTCCACATGCTGTATCTGACTGAATCCTCCACAACGATCCTTTGAATGCTGGCTCTGCCCTCATTGGTATGATCCTCAGCAAGTTACTTATTCTCCCAACCTATTCCTCCTTTGTAACAAGGAGTCCTCCAAGGTCTCCACTGAAGTCCACTTCAGTGTGACTGGAGGATTAAACAAGATAATGCATGTGAAGCATCAAACATAGTGCCTGGCGCAGTAATAATCACTCAACAACTATGAGCTTTCATTCCTGTTGTTGTCATGTCTACAAATACCACTACTTCAGAAAATCATGGGCATGAGTTGGGGATATTGGGGTATGCATGCTCTGGAAAGGTATGCCTGAGGCATTTGCTTTCCTGGGCAGTGTGCCTAAATCAAACTCCTTCAAAAGTGAGATTCTGTTGTGCATTCTGAGAGTTGATGAGCTGATTTGGGCGGCAACTCTTCATGTCAGCAAGTGTGCTAAAGACTGTGGAGTAGCCACATTTTCTGTTTATTTTTCCATTTGACACGTATTTCTCCGTCACCTCCTTTGTGGCTGGCACTGTGCTAGGAGCTCTGAACACAGAAGAAAAACAAAACGGTCTTGGATATTACCCTGCAGTTGTGATAATGAAGAAAATAATGTGTTCTCCGTGAAGGGCAACATCTTCCTGTGCAGAAACACAACACCTGAATTAGATCTACTGAATTACATAGAACCAGATGAACTATTCCTGGAATCGTAGGGCTCATCTTTTTAAGGATGGTCTCTCTGTATCAGATTGTGTGTGTGTGTGTGTGTGCATACACTCAAACTCATGTAAACACATATGCACAGTGTCAAATAATAGGCATGAATAATTGACTAATACTTGCTCTTATTTCTTCTAGTTCTCATCTCAATTGTCACTGCTGTTCATCCTACAAAGGCTTCTCCAAAAGATGAAAACAGTAAGTCATTGTCCATATTTGCCTCTCTGTCTTGCTATAGGCTTCTTTCCCTCCTGATCAACGTAACTTTTGTACTTCTCAGACTTAACATATAAAAGAACAATTATTCCTGAATTGTGGCACTCATAATTTTCCTGTTTTTAGAGACTGAGTCTCCTGTCTATCAGCAGATCACATGTATGTGTATAAATACACACACACACGCATATATATTCCTACATATATACCCACAGTGTCGAATAATGGGCATGGACAATTGACTAATACTTGCTCTCATTTCTTCTAGAGGTCTCTGCCATTGGTTCCATAGAAGCTTACCCAACAGGGCAACGTGGTAAGTTTTTTTCATATGCTTACCTTCCTGCCATGCTATGGTATTTCAACTTCTCTGGTTCAGAGTAGACAAGACTAATTATTCCTGGAATTGTAGGGTTCTTTTCTTTTCTTTTCTTTTCTTTTCTTTTCTTTTCTTTTCTTTTTATTGATGAAGATTGGCTCTGAGCTAAAATCTGTTGCCCAACTTCTTCCTTTTTGATTGAGAGAGATTGACCCTGTGCTAACATCTGTGCCAAGCTCCCTCTATTTTATACGTGGGATGCCACCACAGCATGGCTTAGATGAGCAGTGTGTACGTTCACACTCGGGATTCAAACCCACAAACCCTGGGCAGCTGAGGCTGAGCACATCAACTTAACTGCTATGCCACTGGGCTGAGGAGGGCACACATTTTTAGTGAGCATCTCTCTTGTCTCTCTGTTGGCAGATTTTAAATATATGTATATATACAAACACATACGTATACATACATGGCAACTCTCAACAAATAGGCACAAAGAATTCTCTAACACTTGCTCTCATTTTTTCCAGAGATCCCTGCTATTAATTCTACAAGAGCTGTTCTCAATCATGAAAGTCGTTAAGTTTTTGTATACTTTTGCCTTTATGTCATGCTATATATAGCATTGTTTTCCTTGAGATAAACTTAACTTTTGAACTTCCTTGCCTTAAGATAGCAAAACTAGAATTACCGGATGTTGCAGAATAGACTGAATGATACCTTAAATCAATCCATCATTTCCTAGGAGTCGCCTTAACACAGTAAATGCTGGTTTGGGGATGAGACGACTCTAAATTAAAGGACGCAGTAATTGGCTGGAATTACTCCAACAATGGACTTCATTCATTTGTGTGGCTTGTTTCTAATGACTGAGGAATATGTGATATCATGGTGCTTCTAGATTTTTTTAAGTCTTCGGTCCTTGCTGATAGCTAATAACATGAACTGAAACACACCGAGAGCTTCCTGTACAGAAGTCTTTGTGCTGGCTTTTGCCTGCATGTTCTTGTTTAATTCCTATAATACTGATATGAGGTGGTACAATATCTTACCAAATTTCATAGATGAGGACAATGAGTCAAAAGCAGTTAAGTCCTTTGCACCATGTTACACAGCTAGATCTGTGGATTCAACCCGGCCATCTAAAGCAAGAGTTCACGCACTTACTGGGTTCTCTCTTCTTCCTCTACAATATGGCCCTAGAGCAAGAAATCCCAAATCCAAGACCATAAAACATGAAAGACACATGGTGGGGGGTGGATAAGTGCATGGACTTCACAGTATCTGAGACTCGTCTTGAGCCCCATTTCTTTAAAGATTAATAGCATCAAAATAGGAAAGTTACTTACGTTTTCTGAGCAACACTTTGCTCATCTGCCAACAAGAAAGAATTATATCTAATGCAGTTATTGAAGAGATAAGGTCACCTATGCTGAATGTTTAGCGTAGGGTATGTCATTTGGCTGTCACAGAATCAGCACTAGCTTGTGGCCCTTTCTCCCTACATATGCGCAAAGAAAGGGACTAGAAGCACTGGCTCTAGCCCTGCTGATCTTTCCTCCATTTCCAAAATGAAGAGGACTCTGAATCTCAGCTAACACGTGACCAGACCAAGGGCTGGTCACGTTATGAGCACATCATCTCCGAGATCGCTTTCCACAACAAGTGCTAGTAATTCTGGAGTTCTGACTCTTGAAGATAAAACATGAAAATGGGAAATTTTCTCAGGAAGAGATTCGGCCTGGTGCTTTACTGAATAGGTAGTCTGGCTCACAATCATTGTTAATTAGACAAACATAAATCTTTCCCTGTCACAGGCCAGTAAGGGATGTGTGGATGAGTACACTAGGATGAATTATGGTCCCAAGGAGGATACACTATTGTAAGGGAAGAAATTCTGTTCCTAATCACTCAGGGTCACTTGTGATTCAGGCATGAAGCCCTGGAGGAGTCCCTTTGATGCAGAAGCTGCACATATTCAGACAGTGTGGGCAGAGGACTGAATGTGCCTTCGTCCTGGCAGTGATCCAGGAAATATCCAGACCCGGGTCGTAAAGTCCTGTGTATGAACATGACAGATCAAAAGCCCAAACACCTATAAATCAGAAGGAATCAGTTTGTCCTTTTCCCTGTGGTTAACAAGCTTTTGAAGGAGTGGGGAATGAGCACAGAAGAAAACGTGCGAAGACGTCTGCTGTGCACCAGTGCAAATTTCGGAAGTCAGTCTTCATCTCTCAGATCCGTAGTGTAATCAGTGACCAAATTAGGTTCAAACACTTGCCTTGGCTTTCTCCTGGGGCAATGATGAAGAGCAAATGAAATAATGTCAGTGAAAACACTTGCTTTTGAAAATACAACATGGGTGTATTTCTTTAGATATTGATTGTAGTTTTCATATCCTTTCCTGACTCGCTAATATAAGAATAAAGTGACACCCCTAATTTACTGTTTCTACAGCTAAGGACAGAGGGAAAGCAACATGTGCAAAGCACAAGTTAATGTAACCACTGGGCTGAAATGTCCTGTTAGGTTTTGATTTTTCTAGAGATCAGGGGAAAATAAGAGGTCGAATAACTTCCATGATGTTGATTATCACAGAGAGGTTGCAGTTCATAACCTGTTTTACTTGGCACCTAATTTCTGAAACAAATGTCTCTCATGGGCTTCTCAGGGCAACAGAACTAATGAGGACATTGCTGGTAAAGTCATCCTACAGAAAATTTCTAATGCTGTTTCTTGGAAGTTTTTTGTTTTTGATAAAAGCTAAGAATTTAACTCGAAAGCACAAATCAGTGAAGTGATTTTGAAGAAGATAAAACTAGTCTGGTCCAAGTTTTGGATTAACATTGTCCGAGAAGGAGAATTTAGGGTACATACACAGATTTCATTATGAAAAATGATTACTTTACTGCTTTCACCTCAATCAACGCATGGTAATAAGAGATTCTGATTTACCTTTTGATGAATAAGTCACTGTATAGGAAAAAGAGACTTTGAAGACACGTTAACGTCAGTTCTTGAAGATATTTTAACATCTAAACATGATTATACTCACATTTTCATTCTTGGAATTTAATCCAAATCCTATACTTCAAACCCAGTTTTAGAGCCACAAAAAATGATCTCATCCGGTGCATAAAATTGCATACCTCAACTGTATCCATTTGGACAAGTACACTTCTAGTAGAAAAAGAATAAACAAAAACAATGGTTTCAACTCTATTTTCCTCCATCAAACAGTCAATCATCTTTAAAACGTTTTTATCTTTGTATATTTTCCCTCTATTTTTTACCTTGTAGACAAGTGTTACATCAGGTTGTATATATTCAGAGAAGTATAAATATGACTTGACCTACATTTCTATCACCAGAAAAAAATTGAACTGAAATGCTGAACTCCTGTAAGGAAAAGTTCATTTGCTAAGAATATTTTACATACCTGGAAGAGAAGATGTTTTTAGTGTCCACAACGGTGGAATCATGGTGTTCCTCCATAGATTATTTTCTGTTTCTATGGATTATTTTAACAAAGTACTTTCCGTGCTCTATGTCACTGAATCCTCCCCAATGGTCCTTTGAATGCTGGCTCTGCCATCACTGGTATGACTCTTGGCAAGTCACTTACTCTCCCAAGCTTATTCCTCATTTGCAACAAGGACTCCTCCAAACTACAACTCATTTCAGTGTGACAGGAGCATTAAACGAGATAATGCATGTGAAGCATTTAACACAGTGCCTGGTGCAGTAATAATCACGCAATAGCTATGAGATTTTATTCATATTGTTGTCGTCCACAAACACCACAACTCCAGAAAATCATGGGCATGCACTGGGGACATTGGGATATGCATGCTCCTTAAAAACATGCCTGATTCCTTTACTTTCATGGGCAATGTGCCTAAACCAGACTCCTTCAAAAGTGAGATTCTGTTGTGGATTCTGAGAGTTAGTGAATTGATTTTGGTAGCAACTCTTCATGTCAGCAGTGTGTGCTAAAGACTGTGGAGTAGGCACATTTTCTGTTTATTTTTCCATTCAACAAGTATTTCTCCAACAGCTCCTTTGTGGCTGTCACTGTGCCAGGAGCTGTGAATACAGAAGGAAAACAACATAGTATTGGATATTACACTCCAGTTGTGCTACAGAAGGAAAAATCTATCCTTCGTGAAAGTCAACATCTTCTTGTGCAAAATCAATACCTGAATTAGGACTGCTGAATTATATAGAATCAAAGGAACTATTCCTGGCATCAGAGGGCTCATAATTTTAGAGATGGTCTCTCAGTCAGTGGACTATGTGTGTGTGTGTGTGTGTGTGTGTACACGTAAACTCACATAAACACATACCTACGCTATCGAGCACTGGGCGTCATAATTGACTAATACTTGCTCTCATTTATTCTAGTTGTCACCTCAATGGCCACTACTGTTGGTTCTACAATGGCTTATACGACAAAGCAAAGCAGTAAGTTATTGTGTGTTTTTGCCTCCATGTCATGCAGTAGGCTTTTTTTTCCCTCTCGATCTACTTAACTTTTGTACTTTTCAGACTTAAATTACGAAAGACCAAATATTCCTGGAATTGTGGAGCTCATAACTTTCAGACTTTTAGTGAGCACCTCTCCTGTCTGTCTGCACATCATCTGTGTGCATGTATATATATATTTATATATTCCTTTATATGTACACGCAGTGTTACTAATGGGCATGAACCTTGCCTGATACTTGCCCTCATTTCTCCCAGTTGTCACTACCATTGCATCTACAACAGCTTCCCCAACAGCGCAAAGTGGTAAGTTGCATATATGCTTGTCTTCATGTCATGCTATGGCATTTTTTCCCTCCTGATCAAATTAACTTTTGAACTTCACTGGTTTATTGTAGACAAGACTAGTGAATCCTGGAATTCTAGGGCACGTATTTTCAACGAGTCTCTCTCTTGTCTCTCTGTTTCCTGATTTTATATATAAATACACACACACACATACATACATATATATATATATACATCAACTGACAACTAATAGGCACAGACAACTGACTAAAACTTGTTCTTATTTCTTCTAAAAATCACTACTATTAACTCTACAAAACTTAGGTAAACGGCGAAAGCTGTTAAACTTTTGTAAATGTTTGCCTTTATGTCATGTGATAGTATGTTTTTCCTCTGGATGAATTTAACTTTCGAAATTCCCCGCCTTAAGCTTCTGTCCACATGTTGCAGAATATTCTGAGTGATATTTTCAATCAATCTATCATTTCCCAGGAGATGTCTTAACATGCTAAATGCTCGTTTTGGGTTGAGATGCCTATAAATTAGAGGGTGCGGTGACAGGCACCGAATTATTTCCAAACTGGACTTGTTTCATTTCTGCATCTTTTGTTGCTAACGACTGAGGAATATGTCAATTGTTTTTTATAGGAACTATTTATGTGAACAGCACGTACTGAAGACTGTGGAGTAGCCACATTTTCTGTTTATTTTTCCATTCGGCAAGTGTTTCTCCAACCGCTCCTTTGTGGCTGTGACTGTGCCAGGAGCTGTAAATACAGAAGGAAAACAAGATAGTATTGGATATTACCG